GTTGTTCTGAAACCACTTAAAAATATCATTCAAATCCGATTCTGCTTTAGATTTAAGATCCTTCCACGAGTTTCCTTTGTAAAAAATAGCAGTGTCATCAGCAAAACTTACCAGATGACCTTTCCAGTCTGTCCTTAAAATGTTATTTATATAAAGGGTGAATAAAAGCGGACCCAGAACTGTCCCCTGAGGAACACCACAAGTCACAGCTCTACGTCCACTCTTAAAACCATCAATGTTGACATACTGGGTTCTTCCGGTTAAATAGCTTTGGAGAAGATTTATTACGTTGCCTCTAATGCCAATCTGATAAAGTTTTTGAATAAGTTTTTCGTGACAGACTGCGTCAAAAGCCTTGCTAAGATCTATAAATACACAAAGAGATGGCTTTCGTTGGTCCAGTGCCTCATTTATTTCATTTGTAAGACTAGCTATTGCATCTTCGGTGGACTTTCCCGATCTGAAACCAAATTGTTTTGGTGATATTAACTTTTGTTTTTCTAAAAATAAATTTACTCTTTGTTTTATTGCCTTTTCAAAAATTTTTGAGATATTAGAAATAAGTGATATTGGTCTATAATTGCCCAGCTCAGTTTTTGATCCACTTTTAAACAAGGGCTTAATTTCCCCAATTTTCAAAACATCAGGAAAGTTACCGATACGAAAACCAAGATTAATTAAAAACGATAAAATTGGCGATATTTCATTTGAAATTTCTTTAAGAGTCTCGGAGCGTATTCCATCTGGACCTGGAGCTTTTTTAAGTTTCAATTGCTTGATAATCATCATAATTTCTCGATCCGATGTTTCTTTTAAGAAATATAAACTTTTATTGGACCAACTCATTTGTTCTCTGTAATTTTGACAAGGGCTGATATTTTTAGCTAAATTCTCTCCCACTTCACAAAAAAAATTATTAAATTGGTTTGCAATCTCAGTTTTGTTTGTAATAATATGTGATCCTGACGTCTTAATGTTTTCAATTTGTGTTTTTTGACATGATTTGTTGCATATTTGGTTGACACACTTCCATAGGGCATCAGATTTATTTCTATTTTTATTGATTTGGTCCTGAGCAGTTTGTGTCTTACATTTTTTTATTGCTTTTGTAAGTTGATTTTTGTAAATTTTATAACGATCTTTAAGATCAGCATTTTGAGGTTCCTTCAGAATTTTGTACATACAGTAAATGTTTTTCTTTTATCTTGTTTAATAGAGCTTTTGTTATCCACTTATTTTTACCATTTTTTGTGTTTGTTTGTTTAATAGTTTTTGTGTTTTCTGAGATTTTATTTTGAAGTATATGTAAAAAGTTTGAGACTGCAAGATTTAAATCCTGAGCATTAAAAACCGTTTCCCACCCCTCGTTTCGCAAAGCCCTTCTTAGTTTTTTATAGTCTGTGTATGATTTTGTTCGTTCGTTTATTTTCTGTGTATTCGTAATTGACGTTTCAAATGTGAATGCTATTGGATGGTGGTCCGTGATTTTATAATCTATAATATATGAATTAGAGTTCTTGAAACAATTTTCATTTTCGCCCTTAACATATATGTGATCAAGACAAGTTTTCGTCAAGGGTCTTGTGTAGTATTTATTAATATATGAGGTGTAGCCGTAAGCTGCTAAGACACTTTTGTAGTTTTCTGTAGGATTTTTGTTTTCTTTTAATAAATTTATATTGATATCTCCGATTATAATGTGTTTTTTTCTATTTTTGCTCAAATCGAGGTAATCAGAGAAATCTTCTACAAAGACGTTTTCATTGACTGATGGTGATCTGTATATGCATGTCAAGAGAAATTTATGTTGATTTTCACCAATTTGAAGTTCAATGCATTTTACGTCACCAATAAATTTGAAGGTAGACTCTATTTTAATTGATTCCTTGACAAAAACTACAATTCCATCACACCTATTTAATGTTCCTTCACTATATATACAAGAATATCCAGGTAGGTTATAGATTTGTAAGTCGCTTATTATATGTGTTTCTGTTAAAACGATTATTTCAAATTTTTGTTTAAATTGTTCTAAAAAACACAAAAATTCCGTGTAATTTGTCTTGATACCACATATATTCAAATGAATTATTTTGAAATGTGTACCTGCAATAATTTGTTGATTAAAATATTGTAAATTTTTTATCAACTGTGGAACTACAATATTTTCGTTCAAATCTCTGAGGAATTGATCCATTTTATTTCAAGATAGCTAGCCCAAAACTACTTACTAAATATTAATTAACTAACCCAAAACCACTCTAATAAATTCAATTATATAACTTATAAATAAATTAACCTAATCTATAATGAAAGAACAACCAATATTTAAAGAAATATCAATTCAATTATTATTTCTGTTCTTAGTTTTTTTGGATCTCAACCCGATTCCGCTTCCTCGAGTTGGAGTGTGCTTCGGTTTTCGTTTTTTTGCTTTTTGTCTATCTAAGACTTCCACTGCTTCTTCTGGAATAAAGTCCTCAGATCCAGACTCGTTTCTCGAACTTCCGGTAACGCTGTTTATGTCGTCTAATTCATTTGCAGAGTATTGCTGACCGTCAATTTCTAACTTAAAGCCTTTTATTTTTGCTTCCTTATTTTCTTCACGAGCTTTTTTCATGTGCTTCCTTAGTATCTTTAACTCTTCTCGGTCTTCTTTGCAGTAATCGTGAGAGACTGAAATTCCTGTGCCCTTCAGAGCTTTCAATTTGTCAAAATCTTGAAAAATTTCAGCTTTTTTCAGGTATGTCAAGAACTCTATTAAAATAGGTGAGCCTTCTTCCTTTCCTATAAAGTATATATTATTTATATCACGTACGGTGAGTGAAAGCGAAAAAAGCTCGTTTAATTTTTCTTGAGTTTTTACAAGCAACTCTGCTCTATTTTGCACTTTAAATCCAAATAACAGTACATTGTTTCTTCTTGAACATATTATAAATTATATCATTCATTAATTTGTATCATGCGTATACGTTCAAAAAATGCATCATAGCGACACGAAAAAGCTTCAAATGATTTTGCAAATCATTGAAAATATTTATTAAGAGTGGTTGCTGAACTTTTTCCGAGACTTGTTCCAAACTTGAGCCTTTATTCCGTCCAAATCCGTATGACCGAAAATGGTGCTCTACTAAGAAAACTGTTTCGTAAGTTAGAAGATACAAAATGACGAAGATTTTAACCTTAACTTAATGTCTACCTCATAACTAATGCCAAGTAAGCGAAATATGATAAATGCAACTTGCGTGCGCAATTACTCAGTGCTCTAGATTTCGGTACTGTTTATTTTGGCGGATACCGTATTTTCAAATTGATCCAAATCAGATATTATTTTATGTTTATTTATGCTCAAAATTTTGAATTTATTTAAATTAAATGTTTATCAGCTATGTGATTATTAAATGCAGAGAAAAAACTAAAAACAACTATAGATTTATTATTATTTTCTCTTTCCAATTTTTTCAGCTACCATAGTTAATTCTCCCTTTGATTTTGTTTATATGAAATAAATGTGTTGGGCAGTCTTTACTTGGCTATTGGAATCTGCCAACTGTGATTTCCAGCGCAGTATTCTTATTTTCTCATGTAATTCAATTTATTCTTATGTATGACCTATGTATTCCTTTGTACTCCATGTATTCAGCCATGTATAAATTTGGCTGGCGGTTTACCCCTCGATTTTAGTACTAAGGCAGCGACCGTATGAGTCATATGAATGGCTCAGCAACTGGATTAACATTTGTGAGATTACTAAAAATCAAATCAAGAATAATACCATATATGTTTGTTGTTTTATTATGTTGAGAAAAATTTAAAAATGAAAAATAATCGGCAATACATTCAACTTTAGGACGAGCTTTAGGAGTCATACTACCACTCGGTTGATAGCCACATTTTTTATTCAACCAAATATAATTTGCATCTAACACAGAAAAATGACACTTATTAAAATTGTCCACCCTCTACCTAGAACATTACTTGGTATTTTTGGTAGCTCTATACCAAGAATACCAATTAAGATTATTAAGAAGCATTATTCTGGAAGACTAAAAGAGCATGGATCATTCACGAAATGGTTTAAAATTGATTAAAATGATATAAATTTCTTCTAAATCTGTTTCCTTTTGCATTTTTCCTGTTAAAATGTCAAGAGAAACTATGCTTGGAGGGTGTAAAATTAAATTTGCGAAATTTTAGGTGTAGGCTCTTCATTTCGGCAAAAAAAGATATATAATTTGAAATTTTATATAAGTGGTATTTTATAATGGTTTGGCTTAACAATAATTATTATCTCTTAGCTTTTTTCAGTTCAGGCACAATTTTATCATTTACCAGTAACCTTCACATTTACAAGCCTATTTTAAAAATGATAAATTTTCCAAACCACATAATGAATTTTAATATTCTTTAATCTGATTATATTATTAGTAAAAATAGATAATCTTGTCAATCTAATGGCGAAAAATGTTAAACTATTTAACAAAATAAATAAAGAAGCTGCAATAGTAATAATAGTATCTACATATTGTTAAATTAATTTATTGTAAAACAATGAAAATGGAAATATTATGTGGTTATTTGTCAACAAATAAAATGATGAGGAATTTCTCAGAAATTAAAATGAAATAATGTTATTGGAATGTAAGACAAAATTTTTGGAACTGTGCTGATTAATGATGAGTTTGTGGTTGGTCAACAATGTTAATAAAATTCACGTTTCACATTACTTTTTTGGTTCAAATAATATTAACTACTCCAAAACGCATCATTTTCTTGTGGTTATTTATTTAAATCAAGAGTTGATTGACCATTTAAATAAATGTTGAAATTATATTTTAATTAGTCACTCATAACTGCAACTAGCATTACGTTTAACAATAGAATATCAGTAGTTTCTTTAGAAAGATTACTCACTAACGACACAAAATGCCTAAGCTTAATATGGTATAATATTCAATATTTTAATAATTTAGAAATATTGTTTTCATTTGTATTTTTAGTCCCAATCTGGAGACGCAGATGAATCTTTGGCTGTTGAAGAGACGGCAGCAGGCTCGAGCGAAAAGGAACACGAAATCGAATTGGGAGATGTAAAAATTATAAAATACAATAAATAGATTACACATTGAAATTCAAATTGTAGGTTGTAAGAAATGGACACGACAAAGCTGATCCCTCCCAATTCGAACTGCTCAAAGTTCTTGGCGAGGGTTCTTTTGGCAAAGTTTTTCTTGTACGAAAAATTGTTGGTACCGATGCAGGAACATTATATGCTATGAAAGTTTTAAAGAAGGCTACACTAAAGGTAACTTATTTATGTTTAATTTCCTAATAAATTGCCCATAATAGTCTTCCAGATTCTTATTCTCCCTCAATTTCTTGTTTTGAGTCCAAGGAATTGGCTTATGCCTGAGGTATAGTCATGGTGTTTCTTTTCTTCCTATCAATAACAGTTCTTGATAATTTGTCCTTTTTTTTGGAATTATTGCACTTCAAGTAATTTTGAGCATTTGATGGATAATTCGCAGCAACTTGAAGTTATTTTGCGACCTTTGAATCTTTGAAATATGACTCCAAATTTAGTCAAAACCACTTTAAAATAATTCAAACCTAGTCAAAAGTTTACCACAGTGGGTGTCTTGTGCTTATAAATGTAATTTTTAAACCTACATTTCATACTTTTCTGTCATCATTGATTTTTTAATTCTTGTATTTATATTCCTTTCAAGATGCTTAATACAGAATTTATTCTTAAGGTTAGGGATCGATATCGTACAAAAATGGAAAGAAACATTCTAGTTGACGTCGAACATCCCTTTATAGTCAAACTTCATTATGCTTTCCAAACTGAGGGAAAGCTGTACCTTATTTTAGATTTTTTAAGAGGTGGAGATTTGTTTTCTCGATTGAGTAAGGAAGTGAGTATTTTGTATTTTTTTTTTCAATTCAAAATGAGTACCTATATTATATTATAAAATATTTGCAGGTCATGTTCACAGAAGAGGATGTGAAATTTTATTTAGCCGAACTAGCATTAGCATTGAATCACTTGCACACAGTTGGAATTATATACCGGGATCTCAAACCGGAAAACATATTGCTAGATGCAGACGGTCATATTGCACTCACAGATTTTGGTCTCTCTAAATTACCAGTAGAAGAAGGAAAAACTTATAGTTTTTGTGGCACAGTAAGGAACACCAATAGTTGACTAGTTTTATGTTTCTAAATATTACTGTAAAGATTGTTTTCTAGGTGGAATACATGGCGCCTGAAGTAGTCAACCGAAACGGTCATTCTTTCGCTGCAGATTGGTGGTCTTTTGGGGTGTTGATGTACGAAATGTTAACAGGCGCTTTACCTTTTCAAGGGCAAGATCGTAAGGAGACCATGACTCAAATTCTCAAGGCCAAACTCGGTATGCCAGCCAACTTAAGTACTGAAGCCCAAAGTTTACTGAGGGCTTTGTTTAAAAGGAATCCCGTGAATAGGTACATTTTTTTTCTTTATTGTTAACCATAACTGCATCCATGAAACTCTAAAATAATCATATGTATTAGATTTAAATATCTACTGAACACGTTTTGATTTTGTTGTAGGTTGGGTGCTGGTGTTGGAGGTGTAGAAGATTTGAAACACCACGAATTCTTCGCTACTATAGACTTTGAAGCACTTCTTGCCAAAAAAATTAGGCCTCCCTTTCAGCCTGCCGTCTGTGGTCCCGAAGACGCCTATTTCGATTCAGAGTATACCAGTAAAACGCCAAAAGACTCTCCTGGAGTACCTGCCAGTGCCAATGCTCACGAGTTGTTTAGAGGGTACTAACTGTTTTTTTTTTATTAAATAGTTTTTGTCATATTTGTTTTATTTCAGATTTAGTTTTGTTGCTCCCTGTTTGTTAGAAAATGGTACCGTCTATAAAAAGTCGATGGAAACGCCTATAAAATCTTTTAGGACGCCGGATCGTAATTTCTTTGAAGAATATGTTCTTATGGATGTTTTGGGTTCAGGGAGTTATAGTGTGTGTAAATTAGCTAAACAAAAAGCTACAGGCCAGCAATATGCTGTAAAGGTTAGTATTTATTTGGAATTTAATAATATTACCATTGCACCTAGATGTATCTTTTACTAATAAACATTTTTATTAATATACAGAGGGCTCCAAAAGTAAACTATATGAAAGAATTGTAAACATTTTTGTAGCCTACAAGCTGTAGAGGACAGAAGGATAATACTTATAGCTAGAAAAAGCTGATAGCTTCTGAAATAGGAAATGCAACTGGTGTTTCTACTATAATCATAGATGATTTCACAAGTTTTATTTTACTCGATAATATCGCATTTATGTAGGAGCAAGTAGGCTAAAACAATCTACGTGATTTCTTTCCATTTGTATCACCTCATTTAGGCATTCTCAATGTATAGTGCGTCCTGGTTTGTAAGAATTCACGCTCTGGTTAGATTCACGTGTTAAATTTGATTTGTTGATTTTACATTATCAACAATATGTTTGGTAGTAAAAATCGCCCTGTTGCCTGTTTTTATCTCATCTTCTTACCTGCCAAATCGAACCTTAAAACATAACTAATGGCGTTTCCGATTGGTAGATTCAGTGCGCACTGAGTGTATTTGCATCCTTTTAATCGACCTGTAGAAGAAAAAGATAGAAATAGAAAAAATTTCACTAGTTCCGCACTAGATCTACCAATCGGAAACGCCATCAAATGCGTGCATTGACATTTCCAGATTGACATCGTAGTTTGATTCGCGGAATCTTTACAGTGACTTGATAAACCTTTTCATCCACAGTGGCGTCAATTGCCGTCCTATTTTTGATTGGTTCCATCAAATCCTATATATTCATATGCAATTTGGAGCAGCAAAATGGCGGCGGGCGTGGCTTACTTCTATTTTCATATTTATCTATGAGATACATATATGATGGCGGCTTACTTCCATTGTCAGCAAAGTGGTTAAAAAGGTTTATCGAGTAGAAAGCTCTAAGGTGAGAAAGCTCGTACTCAAGAGAACAGCAAAGCAAATTTGTATTTAGCTTGATGCATTGTTTTTGGAAGTTTTCAATTTCCTACAGAATTTTATTCTTTTTATAGTTTCTGTTATACAGGGTGGAATTTTTAAATGGAATAAATTTAAATGGAATAAATTCAGTATCAGAAAGCTTGTTTATTTTTTGGAAAATTAAAAAAAAAAACGGGTCCATTTATTTTTAGTACGGCACATTTTTTCGGCCTTTTCATGGAATTTACCCCTCTCTTAAGGGTAGAAACCACCCCTAACTTTTTTTTTTCAAATGTAAAGATATGTATTGTGATAGCTCGTTGTTATATATTATGGATATAAATTAAAAGATATTTTTTTTACAGTTAAAATTGTTGAATATCTTCAGCATTTCTTCTTGGTAGAACCCTAATGCGAAACAAACTCCATTTGTAACGTTATGTAATTATTTCTGACGTTAACACACTATTTGATGCCTGATACTCGGATTCTCAACCCTAAAATAGTGCGTTAATGTCAAAAATAATTACATAACCGAATTTATAAATAAAAAAAAGTGTTGGGGGTGGTTTCTACCCCTAAAAGAGGGGTAAATTCCATGAAAAGGCCGAAAAAAATTGCCAAACTAAAAATAAAGAGACCCGTTTTTTAAAATTTTTCCAGAAAATAAACAGGCTTTCTGATACTAATTTTATTCCATTTAAAAATTCCACCCTGTATAAATCATATAGTTTCTGTTATATGAATCACAAAAACGCCACAAAACCAAGGTTCCACAAAACACAATTTAACACCAACTAACCTCAAAAATCTGGCTTTGTTGCTCACTGAGCTCGGCAGCCATATTGCTATTATCGCCATAATTTAGCGCCATCTATTGATACCAGAATTTTGCGAATAGGCTTCCCATCAGACCTCAGATCCAGTCAGCGGCAGCTATCGCAAAATCGTCTGTTCGAAAGTGATCTACAGACTGGTAGGTAATATTATTACTATGGCTGCGTCTGCGAAAATGTGTGTTTCTATATTTCGCGGAACATTCTATAATTTGATAGTGATTTCTTTATCGCAGGAATGAATATGAGTAAGCTAATCACTAGCTATTGAGAATGGCGTGTCTGCAATCTAGCAAGTCAAAGTCCTTCAAAAGTAATAATTGTATAATTTGGCAGAAATCTACAAAGGGCGCAACCTCTTCATGTACAGAGCATTCTTATTCAAAAATTATAAGAGTATGTTAATAATCGTTGCAGATATGGTGACATAGAGCACCGTAGTTTGTAAAATTTATTACACGAGTTGCCAGTTGAGGAATTATTGAAGCAGAAGGCCATTTATCACAGAGACTACTACCAAAATTTAACTAGCACTGTCAAGACAGAACGAGACAAGAAAAAATTTGCACAAGCAACCACATCCGAATATGTCCTTTCGAAGAAAAAAGGAAGACCTCTTTCTACAAGCTCAGATAGATCTACATTTGGAAGAATATCACGAGAGAGCTATGATAGAGATAAAGGCGTTTTGTGTCAGGAAAGTAGCAGCGTGGATCTTCATGAAGTTACGTCAGTATAAAAAGTACCTTATACAGCTTATTTAAGAAAACATTCCGGATCTGCACTTTAATAAACCACTGCAGAAAAGCTAACCGGAGCAGGTATTATCCACCAAAACAAAGGAAACCGCAGTGGGGATGGCAATGGATTGTAGCCAAATTAAAGAAGATATCGAAAGCAGCACAAATAAATCGGAAAGAGATTTCAGAATCACCAAAATGGCAGTTCGAAGGGTCTTTCGATAGCTACACTCCTTCGGTAATGCTCTATAGGGAATTTTCATATTTCTCAATTTATTTTTTTTTAGATACTTCTAGTCATCAGATATTACATAGTTTTCTTTTTTTCCATTTTAATTTATACATTCTACGAAAAAAAAATATTGAAATTCAAATCAAAAACTTTAGCGCGAAAACGCGAAATTTCAATATGACAGCGCTCATGATGTCAAGATTTTGTAAACATCAAATGCAGCAAACGAATTCTTGCTGACTTAGTGCTATTTTTGTGTTGTGTGTGTGAAAATTGTGGCAATGGATGAAGAATATTGTAAAAGATTGCTTTCGTAAACTTTATTTCACTTGTAAGTTCCCTATTGACAGGTTTGTTTACAGAATCGTGACGTCAAAAAAGGTAGCCATCATGGAAGCATCGTTTTGGCGGGAGAAATTTTATTTTAAATTTTGTGTTATTTTTTGTGTAACAAGAGCGGTATTAGTAAAATAAAAACTGGACATATAAACATTGTGCAGTATAAACTATCGATTTAAAACAAATTTGGAAAATTTTAGTTCATTTGCAAGTTCCCTATAAAGACGATCCAGACCGAGAGAAAGGCCGCATTGACGTGTCTCGCAGAAATAGAAAAAGAGAGCTTAATTGTAATAAATACAAGTTAGAAAGTAATAAAAAATGACATGCGCGCGCAACTCGTGGCTGCAGTGTAGCCAGATTGTATTGTTGCAGAACAAATGTACACAATACAAATTGAACATTATAACATTAAAGAAGTGAAATAGTGTCAAGTGTTTCACAACGCCTTGAATCAGACAAAAGAAGAGGTTTAAAGTGTATGTTAACAGTGTTTGGTTAAGTTCAAGCAAAGAATATTATAGACTAACGTCTCTAGAAGTCTCGTCCGTATTCTGATTTTTGATACCTCGATGGACGCCGGCTTTTGCCGGTGTGGACGCTGGCTCGAGTCTATTGCCCACTGTTGCCGAGTTGTCAGTGCTGTTGATTCAGCGTCCAGCCAGCGAGCCAGCATCCGTGTCTGCTTCTCTGAATGAAGTTATTAAAGTGAAATATTTGCTTTGCGTGCATAGGGAGACAGACGCGTGCCAAAAGGAATTAGGAAGTTAAGCATATATTTTCTAACATATTTGATAATTTACCAACGAATATCATAGATGGATGCTATTCTATCATTTTCTTTAGGTTTTTTTTTCAGTATATTTGGCAAATTTGCCACTTAGAAATTTATGTTTAATTTCGAATTATGAATTATTTATTTATTTTCCAGTAGATCGGTTTATTTACCAACAAGTAAATTTTGGGGTCGGTCAAGTTTCCGCCTGTATTAAACAAATTTCAAAAATAAATACCTAAACCATAATAATTTTGTACACTATAACTAAAATATTGCACACAACACAACGAAAACTAGAGCATTTTTTTAAACTAGGGGCAAACTTGACCGTTCCCCCTTGTTTGTCTAAAACTTGAAAAATTCCTATGCTACTTGGTTCACCTAAATTTGCACAATTTCGCATGCCTATTTTCAAATTTTGCACACTTTTCTGGGGAAAGTTAAAGTATGTTTTTTTTTAAAGATAATTCCCCAAGTCAAAAATTCAATAACTATGTTGGCAACACAAGCCTTTTCTACATAAAAAATTTGAAAGCATTGACAATTTTACATTGCATTGCCAACTTAATGTCATTTTGACTTTTATCTTAAAAAAAAAAAACTTTTTCTACAAACGTGTCAAAAATGCAATTTTTAACACCCCCCGTAGCATTAAAAATGTTACTTTATCGCACTAGTGCCATAAAGTCTTTATAGCACTAGTGTTAAAAATGAAACATCAAATTTTGAGAGCGAACGTCAAAAATGTTTGTATTTTTAGTTATTTACATTGATATTAATGGTAAAATTGGAACAACTGAGGTAGCCCGATTGGCCGCCTCATCTATATTTTTCAAGGGATCGATGCAATCTTCTCTTTCTTCTGTATTTTGTTGCATTTCTAGCAAAAATAATTACTGACCATGACATACTTTCAAGAAACTGACAAGACATTTCATTACCTGTAAAACAAGGTGCTGGTTGTTTGGATCTTTTGATAAATGTCAAATTCAATAATTTTATGTAGGAAAGATGCTTCCAATTTATTATTCATTGAAAAATCCAATTTGATGACGTCATAATTTAGAAATCTTAGATTTTACTATCACTTTTCCGCGATTGTAAACCCACTTTTCCGCAAATATTACC